AAAAGTTGATAGCAAAAATGTAAATGAAACAAATCGATGTTTTAATTACAATATATCAGAATTCTGGAGAGGGCCCAGCAGAATCTAAAAACATAAGCAGTCCTCGCTCGGCTTATAAGCATCTCAAAAAGCCTATAAGGCAAAAGCAGCAAGACAGTGAGGTTTGTATTACCTGCAGAGTGAGTGAACTGACACTGGTTCACTCAGGTACCTTCCTCTGCTGTGTTTATTTGGACCAAAAATGAGAAACCAATTTCTCTTGTAACTTCATTGGAAACCATTCTGAATTCAGAAAATTAACCAAAAAAGCAAAAGCACTCACCTTAGAATATCTACATTTTTTCAATGCCTTTAATTAATATTTTGGTTTTTAAGATATGTTAAGATAATTGAAAACTATAGAGTTACACATTGCATTTTATTCAAAAGCTCCTTTAGAAAGGATTATTGTGCCATAAGAAGGAAGATTTAATGGTAAGTGAACTTAACTGAATAGAGATTGCCTTAGGCAAAATGGTGAAGTAGGAGTCTTATTCATCAGTTCTCTAATCTGTTTACTCTCCTCTAAATCGAAAAAGAAATCTCCAGGGAAACAAAAGGGAACAAAGGGAGTCACTAGGGAATGAGGAAATAAATATAAATAGAATCTAATATTTTCTAATCCAAAATGAATAAGAAATGATTATTTAAAATACAGTAACCTTGCACTATGCTGTAGGTGCACGTAATAGTCACCTACGTTATACAATGCCTATGGGGATCTTTAGTGGGAATTCCATAAAGGCAGAGGGTAACAGAAGCATCTTTACTCATTTATTCAGTTTTAGAATACTGTGATCTATTATAATTTACCTGTGCATGGTTAAGTAGATTCACAGATCTTATCCAGGTTCAACTAACTAATCCATACAATACGGACAAGTAATTTAAAAGATTCCTGCAAAGAAATTATGAATTATAGATAACAACAACAATAATAATAGCTATCATTTACATAGTACTTATGTCTGTAACTAGTGAGGTAGGTCCTATGATCATTCCCATTTTACAGATGTGGAAACCAAAGTACAGAAAAATTAAGCAATTTGCCCAAGGTCGTATAAGTAGTAAGCGAAGGACTGACCCAGAATACAAATCTAAGTCTGTCTGGCTACAAAGTCTGAGGTCTTAACCTATACATACCAGTGCTTCCTCTCACGGATAATACTAATCTCAAAGAAAATAATAATCTTAAAGATGATACAATGATGCAGCTGCTTCAAAAACAGTCTGGCAGTTCCTCGAAAGTTAAACACAAGAATTACTACATAATCCAGCAATGCCACTTCTAGATATATATGCAATAAATTAAGAATATATATCCACACAAAACGTACATGAAGTGATCACAGCAACATTATTCATAATAGACAAAAAGTAGAAACAATCCCTATGTCCATCAGTGGACATGATGAATGGATAAATAAAATGTGGTATATCTAGACACTGGAATATTATTTGGCAATAAAAAGGAATGAATACTGATACCTGCTGCAACATGGATGAACTTTGAATGAACTCTGAAAACACTTGCTAAGTGAAAGAAGCCAGACACAAAAGACCACATATTATATGATTCCACTTATGTGAAATGTCCAGAATAGGCAAATCTAAAGAGACAGAAAGTAGATTAGTGATTGCCTAGGGCTGGGAGGTTGGAGGGAAATGGAAAGTGACAGCTAAGGCATAGAGAGAGAGTCTCTTTCTGTGGTGATAAAAAAGTTCTAAAATTGAGGTGATGGTTGCAGAACTCTTGTGAATATACTAAAATTCAGAAAACTGTCTTAAATGAATAAATTGTATGGTATGTAAATATCTCAGTAAAGCTGTTATTTAGATAAAGTTAAAAGGGTAAAATCCCACCATAATGCTCTAAAAATAGGATACCAAGATTAAATTTTGTAAAATGTAGGTTTTGTTGTTTGTTATGAGGTAAATAAAATAGCTAGTACAGACCTGCTGCAAATGACAAGAGCTAATCATATCATATCTGAATTTCTATTATCACAGGGTGATATTATTATGAGTTTCTGTTCTATCTTAAAGATAATTCTAACACAAACTCAAGCAAAAAAGAAAATGACAAAGCTACCCACTCCTAATGAACTCTCTTAGATATAGTGATAGGTTAAAAGAATGACAATCTGACCTGATGAGAAGTTAGTTAAAAAATCTAAAACCATAAATAAATAAATAAATTCAAAACTATTTGAAACACATTTTCATATCTACAATGGCTAATGATATGTTTTTTCCTAAGTATATAGTATGCCTTGAGATATTAGCTAATGAAAGTATAAAGCCAGCACAAAGTACTATAAAACATTTATCTTTCTCAGCTTTTATTGCTTTTGTGTATGTTTAAAATGTACATATTTAGCAAAATAGTATAGTGTGAAATTTCTAAATAGATATGTATATATTGAGAGTGCATGTCCAAAAGATTCTGACAGAGCCATGTTAATGGAAAAACAAGACTACAGCTCATTTACTCAATTAACAGTGCCTGTTAGGCTAGGCATGAGAAATGGTGAGATGAATAAGGTAAAAGCCACAGTGGAGGGAGGGGATGCCATGATGAAAATAGCAGCATTAAGTGGAAACACAGATACTGAGTGCTGAGACATCCACCTTCCCCTTCCATTCAAATCCCTGAATACTAACACGGAGTCAGACTTTGACCCTCCAGGCAGGAAATTTGAGGATCCCTCTTAGCAAAATCTGGCCAGTCAGAAGGAATGCTCTCAGGACACTAAAGAGATACAGTTAAGGTCAGAACTGACAAGCCCCATTCATGTGTTTAGAGCTTCCACTTATCTTTTCAGTCACCCGCTCTTAAATATGAGTAGACAATTAAGAATTACAGACATCTGAGAAGTTTTCATCATGGTTTCAGTTACCCAGAGTCAACTGTGGTCTGAAAATATTAAGTGGAAAGTTATAGAAACAAACCATTAAGTTTTAAATTACATGCCATTCTGAGTAGCATGATGAAGTCTCATATAGTCCTGCTCTGTCCCTCGAAACATTGCTATTGTTGTCTAGTGTGTCCATGTTTTATGTACAGTACAATAAGATATTTTGAGAGAGAAACTATATTCATATAACTTTTATTACAGTATATTATAATCGTTCTACTTTATTATGTTATTGTTGTTAATCTCTTACTCTGCATAAAATATAAACTTTATCATAGGTATGAATGTACAGGAAAAAACAGTATATATAGGGTTTGGTACTATCTGCAGTTTCAAGAATCCCCTGGGGATCATGGAAAGCATCCCCCTTGGACTACTGTATCTGCAAACCACAAATCTGATAAAGGATTTATATCTAGAACAGGTAAAGAACTCTCCCAACTTAATGACAAAAAAAACAATCTGATTTTTAAAATGGGCAAAAGGTTTGAAAAGCCACTTCAAAGAAGTTGTATGGATGGGAAATAAGCACATGAAAAGATTCTAAACATCCATTGTCATTAGGGAAAATGTAAATTAAAACCACAGTGAGATACCACTATACACCTATTAGAATGGAGTAAAAAAACAGCCATGCTGTGCTGGTGAGGATGTGGAGCAACCATAGTTGTCATATTATTGCTGGTGGGAATACAAATTGGTACAGACACTTTGGAAAACAGTTTGGCATAAATTAATTTATAAAGTTAAACATACTCTTAACATATAGCCCAGTAAATCTCCTATTAGGTATTTACCGAAGAGACTTGTAAGCTTAAGTCCATACAAATATCTGTATCCTAATGCAGATAGTAGCTTTATTCATAATTGCCAAAAACTGAAAAATACCCAAATGTCCATCAACAAAAGAATAAGCAAACTGTGGTATATCCATATAATGGAATACTACTTACTCGGCAATAAAAAGGAAGAAACTATTAATACATATAACAATAAGGTCGAATCTCAAATGTATTATGCTAAGTGAAAGAGGCTAGCTTTTTTTCAAAAGGTCACGTCTGATTCCATTTATATGATATTTTGGAAAAGGTAAAACTGTATCGACAGAAAAAAAAATGAGCAGTTGCCAGAGAAGGGAAGGGAGAAGGGCATAACTGCAAAAAGTCTGAGGGAACTTTTTGGGAGTGGTAGAGATGTTCCATATTTTGATTTTGGTGGTTGTTACACAACTGGATGGCTCTGTCAAAATTCACGGAACAGGGGTAAGTTTTACTATATAAAAATTATACCTCAGGACAAACAGAGACTCATGGACATGGACAATAGACTAGTGGTTACCAGAGGGTGGGGTGGGGAGGGGAGAGGTAGATGGAGTAAAAGGGGTCAAATATGTGGTGACAGAAAGAAATCTAACTATGAGTAGTAAACATACAATGCAATATATATATATATGCCTTACTGCTGAATTGTACACTTGAAACTTACTGGATTTCATTAACCAATGTCACCGTAATAAACAAAAAATTATACCTCAAAATAAGCTTGACTTAAAAAAATTAGAGGGCCAGTCTAAAAGATTCAACATTCAACTAATAAGAGTTCTTGAAAATGGGAATGAAGTAACAAACAAAAGGGGGAGAAATCAACAAGGAAAAATTTTACGAATATTTCCCATAACTGAAAGATAAGAATTTGCCAGACTGAAAGGGACCCACCCAGTGCTCGGTAAAATGTATGAATACAGGCTCCCCTATCACAGACCCCTACCAAGACACATCATCATGAATTTTCTGAATAATGGAAATAAACAGACGATTCTCCAAGAAAGGGAAAAACAGGTCACTGCTGGAATCAGAATGGTCTCAGGCATCTCAACAACAAATATAGAAATCTAAAAAGGAAATGGAAAAAATGCCTTTAAAATTTGGCAGGAAAATAATTTCCAACCTACAATTCTACACTCACACTATTAAGCGATGATAAGACATAATAAGATATTTTGGAAAAATGCAATAAAAAAGTTTACTTCCTGTATACCTCCAGAAAGCTGATGGATGGCTCCACCAAATCAAGAAAAATGAAGAGAGGGAATACAGAAAAGAGAGCCAATACAAGAGAAGAGAAGAGGAAACCCTGGAATGAAGGTAAAGGGAAATTTACTCTGTTCTCCATCCCCCAAATCACCTGTGCTGCAAACACAGGAGGAACTAGTCCAGTATGAAGCAAGGCTAACAGACCTGGGAAAGATTGAACTGATAGAATACTTGATATGTCTGTACATCCTGAGATAAGCTTAGACAACTAGCAAAGAATTTAGGGTTGAATTGGTGATAAATACAAAACACAAAACAAAAACACAAGGCAATTATAAATTCCAAGAAAAAAACAAAAAGTTTTATAGGAAAGTAAAAATGTTCAATGTTACAATAATATAAACTTGAAATACTGATCTAACTAAAACTACAATATAATAAAAAGATAAGGAATGAGAAGGTGTGCATGCGTGCTGGGGAAAAGAAGGTGAAGAGTCAAAATCAATAAATACTTAAAACTGCAAATTCAGGAAGTAGCAAAACAAGCATGTGACTTAGGGAACAAGAAGCTCAATACTGTAAATCAGTTTCAAGAGAAACAGTAGTTGTCTCTGGGGAAGAAAAAATTTGGTGGTAGTGGGAACCAGTATATAAAACTATTGATTCTTTGACTTATGTGTATATCACTTATTTTTTATCAGTTATAAGATAAAATAAGACAAAGTCCTTGTTCTCTAGGAATTCACAGAAATAAGTACTAACAAGTTCAAAGCACTATCAGAATGTCTAGGTGAGAGAAATTAATTCTACATAGTAATGTTTAACACATACCTCACTGACTAGGTGTTAGGCCCAGAACAAAGTTAAGCAGATCAGGAGAGGATTTACTGACTGCCAGCATCACTAAGCAAGCTGAGGAAGCACAGATACGAGCGACCCATGGTCCTTTAGCCCAGAAACTCAGAATCAAGAGGTGGAAAATGACACCTACAAAAGTGATTACAATCCAGGGTGGTGAGTGCAATCTACGATCAGTCCGGATTCCAGGAGGACAGGCAGGCAGCTGAGCCGGGCTCTTTAGCGGATGGGAGCACTCACCCGCGCTTATGTAACCTGAGAAGCCTGGGAAGCGGGTAAACAAAGCCAGCTCAGGGTCCAGGCTCCATCCCCACCCTCACCCCATCCCGGCCCTGACCAACCCAGGGAGTGTCCTTTCCCAGGTATCTGATCCCCGGCCAAAACTGGCCCTCTGACCCTTTTACGGCTGAAGACAACTCACCGACTCGGCCGCCGCTTCCTGCTCGTCCACCGCCAGGGCCCACGAGTCGGTGGCCATGGTCCCAGGCGCGGGTGGGACGCTGGTGCTGGCGGACTCGCCGGCTGTCACCGCGCGATCGTGGGCTCCGGGGGGTTGCGGTGAGCCCGGTTCCGGCCCCACCGAGGGGGAAGTCATTCGCTCCGGTGCTGGGGACCGGAAACGGCGCGCCGCAGTGACGTCTGAGTCCGCGCCGGCCCTGGGCCCCTTGGGGCTGTCGCTTCTGTCGCCTTCAGACCCCCGCCCTCACCTCCTGCTTAGCTCACGCTTTCTTATCCAATATCCAGAACCGCAGACCGAAGTAGTTATCTTAAAGTGCCTAAGCTCTTGTCAACTGCTCTGCAACCGAAGAGCAAAAACCACATTCCCGCCCAGCACAGTGGCATAGAAGCAGCTCATGTAGTTTGAATATATTGAAACACAAAACCATTCATTTCAGGTAGTCACCAAAAAGCACACTGAAACAAGCAGATCTTTTTTCTCATTTTTCAGGTTGGTAATTTCAAATGTCCAGGTGTTGGTCAGGGTGTTGGGAATCAGCCCTCTCAAACATGGGTTAAAAATATGTCCCACAGACTATGTGGCAACACCACTCATAAGAATTTCACCTTGAAAAAGACTCAAGGAAGGTGCTAGGGAAATGTGTTCCAGGTAGGGAATTCCAGACAAGAAAGAGCAAGGATATTTGGGGAGTTGAACAGACACAGCGTTTCTGTGGGGATTGACAAGAGCCAGGGATGAAGAGGCTGGTAGGAGGTGGATGACGCTTTATGAGCATATGCGTTTACTCCAGGGAACGCTTCCACATCTGGTATGATTTTTGAAGTTAACTGTGCCTAAAATCCCAGCTCTCCCATGTAAGGGTTGTGTGACTGGGAGAATTTTTTAAAAGGCGAAAATATCTTGTGCTTTTAGAGGAAGTAAAAATAAGGATCGAATGTGACAGATGTTTTCCCCAAACAGGAACCATACAAGCTTCCCTCTCCTTGCTATTTCACTAGAAAAAAGCTGGGCATTTTCCTGCAACCTAAGAAAATGAATCCCCACATCTCTCACTTGCCAATATTCCACTATAATAAATTAATTTCAAGAAGTAGTGAACTAGATGTGGAATTCTACCTGGAGAGTATGAGTAAAAATGTTTGGAAAACGATGAAACAGTTCCTGGCATTTCTTTACGTGCCATGATTCTTTTCCTCCTGCACCTTTAGGAAGTTAATTTGGGGAAGATTATTTTGGATCCTACAGGGGAGGACATGCAAAAAGAAAAAGGCAAACACACAGCTGAGAAGCCATGACCTACATCTCATCATGTCAAAAGCAACCCTGGGAATATTTTGCCAGAGAAATTATACTCATCACAGAGCTAAAGGAGGTTAATGACTTTAAAAAAAAAAAAGCTTAATGAGGTTAAAAAATAAATCATCAAAGGTGCCAGACTGTATATACTAGAATCCACTTATGCAAAACAAAAACAAACTCACATATATGCTTATACCCACTATACAAAATGTTTAAGATACACACAAAACTGATAACAGTGGCTGCTTATAGTGAGGGGCTCTAGAAATTTGGGGTGGGAGAGGCTTCCTTTTCATTGTGTACTCTTTATACTCTGAAATTTATTTTCCACGAGCCATGTTTTCCTCTTAAAATTGTATTTCAGATGAACAAGAAAGGTAATGATATAATAAACATCTAGGTTCCCACCTCAGGGCTTAAGAAATAAAACGATTAAGACTTAATTGAAGCCTCCGGCATAGCCATCCCAAGAGACAATAGCTCTCTTGAATTTGGTGTTCATCCTTCCTATAAATGCTTTTACATGTGATGCTTTTTCTATTAAAAAAAAAAAAAACTTAAAAATAAGCTTCAGGATTCTAGACTCTTCTATGTCCACCTCCCACACCTACACAAAGTGAGGCTCCTGTTACGGAGGAATCTGGTATCCAAAGTGGAGTGTGAGAGAAGACTGGGGAATAGGAGCATCCAGATTTGAATTCAGCCTCCTGCATTTACTCCCACCGTGACTTTAGGCAACCTCCGCCTCCTCTGAAATCATGCTAAGTACCCTTCCCATAGTTCGAGGATTCAACGAGATCACAACGTTAAGGCCATCGGTCCAGTGCCTAGCCTATGGTGAAGGCTCAATAAATATTAGCTATTATCATTATGTCTGCCCTCCTCCCAAGGGTGGGGGCAAGGAAGATGCCTAAATGTGGGGGAAAAAAGGTCTCATTTCTATCCTCCGAGATACTCACGTCGCCCACGGGCAGAGCAAGCGGAAAGCGGCCCAGGACACGACCTCGTACTCTGCCAGCAGCCCCAGCCATCGCCTCTCAGCAGGGCAGTTACCTCTACCAACGGCCACCTGAGCCTCATTCGCTGAGGCCTGGAAGCAGGTCCCACCAGCCAATCAGCGCGCCCACGTACCTTGGGGCAAATGGCCGAGTTAAGGCTCCAGCAGGGGGCGCCTTTGTGTGAGTTTTGTCATTTTTTACTTACTGTATCGCGCTCCCTGGCTAGGCCGGGAACTCCATGAGGGCAGGGCAGTCCCCTCTTTCTTTAATGTTGATCTTCCGGGGCTAACGCATAATAGGCACTCATTTGGTGAACAAATAGATGAAGAATGCACCCCCACCCCATAGAGAAAACTTTTTAATCTTTGTCTTTGAACAGAATGGTGAAAAAGCTCATTCTCCAGTTTGGGCCGTTGCTACTCCAATGTGATCTCCCAGCAACATAGACAACACCTGGGAGCCCATTAGAACTGTGGCATCTCAGGCCCCACTTCAGACCTACTAAGTCTGGATCTTCATTTTTAAGATCCCAGGTGATTCATACAGCACTGTATGGTCTCAAAACAATTATTCAGTCAACCCCATTCTGTCTGATAACATTCTAAGTCTACAGATGCTAACGGTAGCTTAGGTGCCATGGGAGAGTTAGAATCTAGGGCTATGTTTTTTTTGTTGTTGTTTGTTTGTTTTAGGTGAGGCAACCCTTGGTTGACCTCACAGATTGCAAGGACCTTGTCAGCTTACAATCCCTTATTTTTTTTATTTTTTATGCCTATACAGAACCTGGTCTTCCTAGGTGGTCTCCCATCTAAGTACTAACCAGGCCCCGACCCTGCTTAGCTTCTGAGATCAGACTGGATCAGGCTTGTTCAGGGTGGCATGGCCATTGACTAGGACTATGTCTTTCCAAAACTAAGTATTTCAGTTGTGCTTTCTTGAGCTCCTGTTATCTTGCTCATGCCCCAAGGTGAAGTTCTACCAATGGTCTGCTGTAGAGCAAGCCTTATGTATAGCGCTCACTCTTACCAAAAGGCCTATTTGCTTAGCCCAGAACAAGTTAGAAGTTTCCTAAAATATGCAATTTGCATGTTGCATTAAGATAACTTTCCTTTTATTATGCAGTCGATATTATCTACAAGAAGAAAATATCATAGAGAACTGGGTAATTATCTGAATAATTCATGTAGAAAATTCATGTTCGGAAGAATGTGACTTTTGGGCCTTAATTATTATTTGTCTTCATGTTCCACTGGGTGAATGAAAAAAAAAATTTTTTTTAAATCTGTCTCTAATTCTTTCATTATTGAGGATGCTATCCTAACAGCAGCAAGTCTAGCAGCACAGCAAGGTTATTGAGACTTATGTTACTTTATTTTGAAAGCATAATTTGTACAATTTTGGCTTTCCATTTTAACTGTGGTGGCACATAAGTCTGACCCATTTCTCAAATTGTTTAGACTAAATATGCCTAATATTTTGGGGCCCATTTGGATCAGAACAAACACTTATCTCTCTTGGTTTTACTCTTAGATGTCTTAACCTTAGTGCCTCACTTTTCTCAGTGTTAAAAGCAGATAATAATAGTAACTCATTATAAGGATCAAAAGCTTAGATCAGTTCCTGCCGCATATGACATGCTCAAGAAATGTTGGGTGTGATGGTAATTATTATTGAATTGCTGTGAATTGGGAAGTTAATTCAGGTGATTTATTTTTTACTTGCTTTTGAACTCGATCTTTTATTTGTATAGGATGTTATTTTACATAAAAAGGTATTTTTTTTCTGCAACATCTTTAACTCTGTTATGACCAGCAGCACAATTTTATACCCATGTATTTTGATATATCGGGTGATGTAGGTTAAGAGTATGGGCTTTGGAGCTAAACAGATGTGGGGGTTGGATCCTGGCTCTGCAATTTACTCTTCATTGTGAACTTCAGAAAGGCAGTTTACCTCATCAGTAAAAAGGGCATGCCAGTTGACCGGCCTCATATGGTTTAAAAATTAAATGAAATAATCTACGTAAAATGTTTAATACAGTGCCTTGCATATAAATGTTAACTATTATTTTTCAAATCGAAGGCCAGATGCCAAATCAATTGTCCTTCAATGATTAAGTAACTTCTTTCACACTATATCCAAGGTCTGACAAGGACAAGTGTATCCATTGGCACAATATATCAGAATCTTTCGGGTCTTCATACCATTTTGTACCTAAAATGAACAGAACTGTATACTAAAACCTGTGATCTCTACCAAATTCATGTCACCGTTTCCTCTTATTAACTATGTCAACTATTAGGACCTTGCACATGGAAACCAAAATGTCAGCCTTCAGGAG